TGTTCAACATTCCTATTTGAAAAAAACTTTAAAAGGGTGCGCACAGACCCAATTTGGATCTGAGTGTTTCAAATCTATTTTCGTCCAATGCCTTTGTAAAGATGTCTGCCAGTTGTTTGTCTGTGTCAGCATGCTCCAGATTAATAATTTTATCTTCGACTTATTCTCGTATGAAGTGATGTTTGATATCGATGTGCTTCGTACGAGAATGTAACACTGGATTTTTTGGCATACTAATGGCACTTCTTTTGTCACAATATAATTGGATTTTATTACGTTGTATCCCGTAGTCTGTCAACACGGACTTCATCCATAGTAGTTGTATACAACAACTTCTTTCTACGATTTATTCAGCTTTAGCAGTTGATAGGGACACTAAATTTTTTTCTTGCTTAGCCATGCAACCAAATTTCCTCCTGAGAAAAAACAACCCCCAGACGTACTTTTCCGGTCATCTATATATCCTGCCCAGTTTACATCACTGAATGTTGCTAATTGTGTTGTACCACCTTTTTCATACCATAACCCCATGCTCTGTGTGCCTCTGACAGATTTTAGAATCCTTTTGACGGCCTTAAGATGTGACTCCTTTGGATTTGCTTTATATCTTGCACATACCCCTACACTTTAACAAATGTCTAGTCTGCTAGCAGTGAGGTACAATAAACTGCCAATGATGATTCTGTATTGTGTTTTATCCTCTGCTTTACCATTGTCATCTCTGCTAATTTTCTCATGTGTAGGAGAGGGTGTTTTAGCACTCTTCTAGTCACTCATGTCAAATTTCTTTAGCATGTTTTGTATATATTTTGCCTGTGAAATGAAGATCCCTTTTTCTGTTTGCTTGACTTCTAGTCCGAGAAAGAAGGTTAGCTCACCTAGCATGCTCATGTCAAATTCCATCTCCATGGTTTTGACAAAGTTATCAACATGATGCTTAGCAGTAGATCCAAAAATAATATAATCAACGTAAATTTGAGCATTGAGTATATCTGAATAATACCTTTGATAGAACATAGTGTTGTCTGTTCCTCCTCGTTTGTACCCTTCTTTGAGAAGATATGAAGTTAGTCTCTCATGCCATGCACGTGGAACCTGTTTTAGTCCATAGAGTGTTTTCCGCAGCTTATAGACATGTTCTGGGTGTTTCGGATCTTCAAACCCCTTTGGATGTGCTACATATACCTGTTCTTTCAGATACCCATTGAGAAACTCTGTTTTAACATCCATTTGATATAACTTCGTGTCAAGTATGCAAGCCATGCTAACTACCATACGAATGGACTCCAATCTTTCAACTAGAGCGAACGTTTATTTGAAGTCAATTCCTTCAACCTGTGTATAGCCCTGAGCTACCAGTCTCGCTTTATTTCTGATCACTTTCCCGTCTTTGTCTATTTTGTTTTGAAAGATCCATTTTTCTCCAATCACACTTATACCATCAGATCTAGGGACCAAATCCCACACATTGTTCTGCTGAAATTGTGCCAACTCCTCCTACATGGAATCTATCCATGGTTCATCCTTGAGTGCCTCCTCTTTTACGACTCTTCTGAATATGAGTAGGTACTCTTGTTGTTTCTTCTAGAACTGTTGTCGTGTCCTCCTTATCTCTCTGACATTCCTCTGATTCTGTCACCTCTTGCTCTGAAGGAGTGTCAGATTGTGTTTCACTGAACTTTGGATCATCATATCTTTTACTCTGAATGTGATCATCGACCACGACATTGATCAATTCTATGATGCTTCTGGTTCTCTTGATGTAGACTCTGTATGCCTTACTGTTTGGTGAGTAACCCACAAATATAGCTTCATTACTTTTAGCATAAAATTTCCCTCTCTATTCCTATCTCGTCGAACATAGCACCTTGCCCCAATGATATGAAGGTGTGCAACACTTGCAGTTCCTCCTTTCCATAACTCATGCGGTAGCAAGCTGTATGAATTGCTTCAGCCTACAGATTCTAAGGTAGACTCTGAGTGTTTATCATTGTATGCGCCATCTCTTGAACATGTCAATTTTTTCTTTCAGCTATTCCATTCTGTTGAGGTGTTTTAGGGGCTTAGAATTTATGGTGAATCCCTTCTTTGTCACAGAATCTGCTGAAGGGCGGATTTTCAAACTCTCCTCTGTGATCACTTCGCACTCGAATGACCTTTTTTATTTTGAGTTGTTTTTCATTGTGAACCTTGTTGCATAGTGTAACAAAGGCCTCTAGTGCATTATCCTTATGTCTCAAGAAGCTTACCCAGGAACATCTGGTGAAGTCATCCACCACCATGAATACAAATCTCTTCCCACCCGATGGCCTCCCAGCCTTCATTGGCCCAAAGAGATCGATGTGCACCAATTCCAGTGGTCATGTAGTTGACAAATATATTTTCACCAGATGACTTGTCTGTGTCTACTTCCCCTTTTAACATGGGCCACACATCTCATCTTCCAATCTCTTGATCTCAAGAAGTCTTTGGACAGCTCCTGAATTTGAGATAGTTGTCAGGTCTTTAAAGTTAATGTGACCTAGTCTATAGTGCCACAATCTTGCATCTTGTTTACTTGCGGAAAGCAAAGTACATAAGGAGTTACTTTGTAGCAGTTGTTAGATGTTCTATCACCTTCCATCACAGACAGTTTGTTTTTGTCCTTTACCCGACATTTCTATTGAGTAAAGGTGACTTCCAGCCCTTGGTCGCATATCTGACTGATACTCAGAAGATTCACCTGAAGTCCTTGCACAAGCCATACATTCTTGATTGGTTGGAGTCCAGAAACATTCAATACTCCCCACCCCACAATTTTCACTTGTGCTCCACCATCAAATCTAACATTCCCTTTTTTCAAAATGTTGATATCTGCCATATTCTGTTTGTCATCGATCATATGGTGTGAGTGTTGACCCTTGTGTTTTGATAATGACAACCTTATATGTGGGATGAGCTTTGGATCTTTGAATCAAGTCACCTGGATAATTTCATAGGGATTATCTTGCAAGTCGGCTTACGAGCTCCAAGACAAGAATTGGCTTACGAGCTTCAAGACTAGAATTGGTGTTAAAAAGGTTTCTAGATCTTTTACATTTTTTTAAGTCTTAGTTCTTGTTAAAGTGTGTGGCACATGTTTATTCTTCAAAATTCTCTATTTCTCTTAAAGGAATTCTTTCTTTATTGTTATTTAAAATGTTTTTCGAAGTATTCTTTCAAAACTGTGTTTTCCCATGCTTTTGTTCGAATAAATGATGATTTATTCAAATAAGAGGGCTTTCTTCAAATTGGAGTTCAATCTGCTTTATTCGAATAAATTCCAATTCCAAGTTTTCTTTAGTTCTGCAAACTATTCGAATAAATGGACTTTTATTCGAATAAGTCACTGCCAGACTTTCATTTCATTCTGGTTTATTCGAATAAATGTCTTATTGATTCGAATAACTCCTGTTTTTCCAAAATCCTGAGTTTGCACTTTTATTTGAATAAGTAGCAGATTTAGTCGAATAAATCGACAATTTTCACAACTAACGGTCAGTTTTTAAATTCTCATGGAGGTTTCTTCGACCCTATCCATAATTCCATATATACTTTATGTAGTTCCGGTTTTCAAAAAACAAAAACATCTAAGAACATTTACAATTGCTATCCTTTGAGAATTTCAAAGAGTTTTATTGAATCAAATCCTCCTACTCAATTCATTCAAGCATTTTCTTGAGCAATCCTTCAAATCGAAGTTTGAAGAGTCATTTGTGCCATACACTATAGGTTTGGTTGTAATCTACAACATATCCGCTCTTGTTCGAAGAGTCAATTCCACTGTGCACTTTGGTTTGTAAGTTTTTAAATTGTTAAAAAAAACATGAATGTGAAGCAATTCAAGTTTTTGGATTGAAATCCAAAGTCTTGTGAAATCAAGACTTCGGTGGAAAGGTTAGAGGCTTGTGAAATCAAGTTCTCGAGTTGTATTCGGATTGTTAAACTTCGTTAAGTTTAACAAGGATTAGTGGAATCTCTGGCACGTTTGCCTTGGGGACTGGACGTAGGCATTAGGCCAAACCAGGATATATCGTTGTCTCCTCGCTGTCATTATTTCTGTTAATCTTTTATTTTATTCATGCGCTTTTTCTTCTTTAAACGAAAAATTTTATTATTTTCGTGAACACCTCTATTCACCCTCCCCCCCTCTAGAGGTGTGAAAGTCGTCTAACAGTGAGCATCCACTATCAAGCAGCCACTAATCACGGGTAACTCTGAGACATGAGTTTGCCACCATGACCTTGCTTTTTGGAATCCAAATTTGTTTGGTTCTCCGAGTGTTTTCTCTATTATATTTCAGCTTATGACAGATTCTCTTGATATGAACCCAAGCTCTACAATAATAGCATCTGTAGTATTGGTACATCCTGAGGATACCTCTGTGAGGCTTCATGTGATATTTCTCTGTGTTGTTCACGATGGGCCTAGCATATGCTGTTAGACAAAAGTGCAAATCTAGAGGGGGGTTAATAGAGTTGTTTACTAGAATGTGCGTTTTTTCGCGTGTGTGATAACAGAATAAAAATCGCAGGAATAACGTAGAGTAAGGGAAAAAGAACACCGTGATTTATTCTGGTTCACCACGAGAGACTTTCTCTAAGGTCCTACTAATTTTCAAGCTTCAACGGGTGCTTGAAAACCGATACAACTCAAGAACTTGAATCGCACAAGCCTCAACTTCTTACAACAAGACTTGAGTCACACAAGTCTTAACAACAACTCAACGAAGATTGAGTTTACAATAAAAGAATGAAAAGCTCACACAATTGAGCAAGTAGTGTTTGAAATATGAAAGCTCTTGTTTGTTGTTAAGACTTTTGTGACTCAAGTCTTGTTGTAAGAAATTGAGGCTTGTGTGATTCAAGTTCTCGAGTTGTATCGGTTTTTCAAGCACCCGTTGAGGCTTGAAGATTAGTAGGACCTTTGAGAGAGTCTCTCGGTGGACTGGACTAGCCACGAGGTGGTGAACCAGTATAAATCATGGTGTACTCTTTATATTTTTCCAGCGATTTTATTTTGTTATCACACACACAATAAACGCACATTCTAGCGAACAACTCTATTCACCCCCCCCCCCTCTAGAATTGCACTTTTGTCTAACATCTTTGAGCTTGTGCAACTCCCGCAGGTTGACATTATCGGTTTCAGCCTCCACTAGATTATGCTTCAAAGTCTTCAGATCAATTGCTAATTTATTTTTTTCTGATATATTCCTTCTGTTGACCATGACTAGTTCAGTCCACTTCTCTTGAAGATCCATGTGTTGTTCAACAAGATCAAATTGATCATCTGATGCTGATTGTGACGTGAAGGTGCAATTACTCTCACTATATCCTTGGTCGTCTTCAGTTTCATCATCAGCCCAAGTAATAGAGAAGGCTTGCCTTTTCTTCTTTAGTTTATTTGCACATTCTGTTTGAATATGTCCATGAGAACCACATTCAAAACATTGTGGCCCCTTGTACTTGGAGCTACTGTCATAATATTTGTTCTCCTTGAATCGTGATTCTTTGGGTGAGGGTCTTCTGGTTGATCCATCTTGACTTGAGCTCCTTCCTATCTTCTGAATCCATTTCTTCTTAAATTGTTTTGTGAATAAGGAGAGTTGTTCTTGAAATTCTTGATCGAGGGATAGGTCATCCTCTCCATCTTCTCCCAGATCCACTCCCACAAATGCAATCTGTCTCTCAGGTTTTCTTCGCTTGTTACGCTCTTTCATGTTCAGTTGAATTATTTCAAGATTTCCCAGCAGTGCATCAAGACTCATCTTCTTGGCATCATAGGATTGTGCAATTGCTCTACGTCCATATCAAATTTTTCTGGTAATGACCTGAGCACCTTTTACACCCGTTTTGACTCAGGAAATGGTTCCTATAATCTGGCAACTTGATTTGCAAGATCACGAACTCTACCGTGAAAATTAACAATACTTTCTTTCTCGTCCATGCGTAGGCCAGTTTTCATACTAAGTCATGAGGATCTGATACTTTGCAGTCTTAACATTTTCATCTCCCTCATGTGTAACTTTGAGAATATCCCAGGCTTCTTTTGCACTTGCACAGTTTGAAATGAGACGATACTCGGTTGCATCAACTGCTCCAAAAATTACATTTAGTGGTTTATCACCGTGTTCAGCAGATATGACTTCTGCTCCGCTGTATTCTTCGAATGACTTGATGGTTGAGGACGACACATCTTCAAAAAAATTTAGTGGTTCTTTCCAACCAGTTTCAACACTTTGCCGAACTCCTCCTCCTTATGATTTCAGAAATGCTCTCATCTGCCCCTTCCAAAAATTGTAATTATGACCACATAGTAGGGGTGGCCTTTGAACACTGGATCTTTCCTCCATGTCCCCCGTGGTGTGTGATCGTTATGGGCTAGCAAAGTAACCCTACCAACTCCGATACCAATTGAAATTTCCACAAGCATAGTGTAGTACCTAACAATTTAAACCACAAAGAACGAAATCGAGATATCATTGGAAACTGTTGTAGCTCAAGTATATGAGACACATAATGCTACAACACCTATTCTAACAACAACAACACACACACACAATAAAAACTAAGTAAATACACAGAGATTTGTTTACACAGTTCGGAGCTGAATCTCCTACGTCTGCAAGACCCACATCCGTGTAATAGCCTTTTGACTAGACCATCGTAAGAGTTACACAATCAATCTCAACAGATCCTTCTAATGAATTGACTTGTCTATCTGACAACAAACTCGATTTGTGTCCCTATCAAACCTATTACACCTTCTTCCTCCTCTGCGTGAAGGATGTGTCTCAGACCTTTGCTCAGCCTACCGGATTGCAACAGCTGAACAACTTCAGAGGAGATTAATCGATAATCTCCTCATCACCATGCTTGCAAATCGTTCCTTGATCTATTACCCACACACACCTTCTTGATATGAATCATATATTTGCACGCTGTGTGTCTCACCACTTGTGTGAGATTTCTTGGATTTTATATAGATGCGTTTCCCAGAACCTAATGGAGCATAACTAGGAGTCCTTGACGTAGAATGGTATGAACAAGTTCATCTGCTAGAAGGAGTCTTCAAGTAATTGATTTCACCCGTAAGAGTAGTTGTTTCTTTATGCACTTCACTCGGAAGATGAACACTCACACACCCAGACTTCGCGTTCCACACGGACACCACCAACACGTGGATTACTATGGATAGGTGAGGACTGACAGGATGCTAGGTGATGACTGACAGGATGTTACAGCTCCATTCTACAAAACGGCTAACTCACTAAAATGTACTACAAAAAGCGGTTTGTCAAAAAATGATGCCAACAAAGGTTATAACATCAACGACACATGGGAACTAACAAATAACACTTTTTCAAGCATAGAGAGGTCGGGGATCAAACTCTTAATATTGAAAGGTACTATAATTTGTTTTTGCTCTTTACTATTTAAGGATTATAATCTAGCTTCTTTATCTTAATTTTTATATATTCATAGTCCAGTATTGTGTTTAGAGGATTCAAACCCTCTAACACATAGATCACCCTTATAAGATTTCACAACAGTCAATTCCAACATTGTTTCATTATTCATTTAATAAATCAAAATTGACGGTATCTGCTTCTTAAGCATTTCAAGGATGATCTATGTATTAATAACTTTCAATGTTACTGGCGTTTTTGAATGAAGACGTACAACCCGGGCAGAAGATATGACAGGTTGTAAAAAATAGTGATACAAAAGTTAGTGTAAGATTAGCATCCTCATGTATAATATTAGGGTAGAACTTTACATCAAGGTTTAAAGAAGTTGGCATGCAAGCCATTGGCTATCAAATCCCATAAGGTTGTCGTAGCCAATACCATACAAACCACCAACCCTAAACATCCAAGGGCCATGTTAAAGCACCACGACAAGCTAAACTGCCGTGGTGTTTTCATGGCAATCCACATGAAACATGGATAAGCCAAAGTAAGAGGCAACGCAATGGAGCCCACGAAGCCTGCCAAACTTCCTAAGAAAGGGAAGGCCATCGATACGAAATAAGTCAATCCACCAAACAAGACTTTGATGGCTGTTCGCAACCATCGCGGGCAGTTCGCCTTTTTCTTGCTCAAGTATATCCTTTCCCAATTGTCCAAGGTCGGCATTGCGTAGATTTGGAAGTTGCAAAGGCTGGCTATAATGATGATCAGATATATCGCTCCCATCCCGAATTTCGGTACGTCGTCTCGGTGGAACTGTGCAAATGCAACAAGGATCCCCCCTTTGTTATACGTCCATGGCATCTGCATGTCAAAAGGAAACAAAGGTAGGAGAAGCAATTGAGATAGTTCCATTTTCCCCTAAATTGAGGTGTATTATTAGATTCAAATGATTATGAAATGGAATGAGTGATTCAATCGGTGGACTTATATCAATTGGTCAGCAGTGTCATGACCAGTTTACCTAAAGATTCAATGATGTGATATACTCCCTCCGTCCCACAAAAAAGTTCCTATTTTGAATAGTATTTAGTCAAATATTTATACGCTTTGACTACAAGAAAGGTTTTGTGGGACGGATGGAATATTTCATTCCTTTCAAGTTAATTTGCTAGCTAGCTTTGGAAAAAAAAGTTTTGTTCAAAAAAATCTCACCGTCTATTATATTTTGAGCATAAGAAAAATCTCAAATTTGAGTCTTGTATTATATACAGAAAAACCTGACTCAATATATTACCACATGTAGGTGTGCAACACGGGTCGGATCCAGATGTAGTCGGGATTAAGGTCCGGTGGGCAATCAAAAAAAATAATGACAGAATATTCTTTACAAATATTTTAGAACTTTGACATATATTTTCTTAATTAAAGTCAAATAAATACTCCGTAAGATAAGTTAAATTAAGACAATTTGGAAATGATTAAGATTAAAAGAAAAGACAGAGAACAAATTATTTTGACTTATGAAACTATAGAAAGCTTAGTTTGAACTTCGGAAGAGAACCAAAAAATTCAATTTTATTTTAGCAGATATGTGAGAAATTTCAACAAAAAGAAATTCAAACAAATTGGTCCAACTAATTTGGTCATTTTTAATAGACTATTTTTTGAATTTAAGTACTTCCTCTGTCCACCATAGATCTTCCCAATAGCCCTTTTTCCTTGTCCACAATAGATCTTCTCATTTCTATTTTTAACAAGTAAAATACCACAACTACCCCCACTTACTTTATTTATTACACCCCACTCACCTCATTTAATACACTCCACCCATTTTTCATTAAGGGTATTATGGTAAACTTTCACCTTTTTTCAACTCTCCTTAAAAACCACCAAAAGTCAAAATGAGAACATCTTAGGCGGACGGAGGGAGTATGTGAAAGCCATTCATTTTTTTATGCAATACTTTTATTTTAAGCTCTGTATATCGATAGACCACAGCTTACCAAATTGCCATAAGCCCAATATCCAGCAATGGCCAAGGGAAAATGACATAGCGCAATGACAAGATAGGATGCAACAACTCCTCTCAACATACGACGTCGTAATGGAACATTGTTTGTGGGCAATGTCCCCTGTATCTCTAGGACCAAATTGTGGCCTCGGAATGCAAGAGAAATGATGGCAAGGGCATTTGCTATGTCCCTAAACCTGGCGACCTTCGAGGTAGAAACCTCCGGCGAGTCATGAATCACCCCTTCCGGCCTGCCCTTGCTAAGGGACAGTGTCCAAAGCAGGGTACAATACGCGACCCCCGTGACCGAGCCGAGGAGCGAAACCGAGCCCAAGGAGTTCAAGCTGGGGAAGAATAAAGACACCAATGTGGCAACGCAAGCGAACACCAAAAACCATTCCGCCCCCGTGAGTCCTTTGTCGTGACATCTTACGTCGGAACCGCACACGGTTTTGTAGAACGACTCGAGTGCCCCACCACCGTTGATAATGAGCAACGCGCACGCCCCTCCGGACAGATACATTGTGGGGAAAATGGCAGCCAACTTCCCCGTCTTCTCCCCAAAAGCCACGATCGCCAGATGAACGTACCTGCTGAACCGCGTCCCCGTGGTGGTCGACTCGTGAAGATCCACCAACAGCCATGTGGTATACAATTGCCACGCGAAAAGAAGCGACAAGCATACGATTCCCCAAACCCTGCAAGAGATATTATTAGGACCTGATATTAAAATGAAAGAGAAACTGTTTTAAAAAACGCATGGAATAGTACATACCAACCAAGGGAGGTGAAGGCAGCGGGAAGGAGGAGTGCCTGGAGGCCGATTCCGGAGGAGAGAAGATGGAAAGTGACAGTGAAGAAGTTGCCATCTCTGGACTGAGTAATGGGGAGGAGGGAATCTATGGGAGCCAACTCCCAGTAGGATTCGCTTCTCTCCAGAGCTGAGTTTCCCCGGAGGATGATTCCTCCGACCGCCTGCAACTCCACCGGCGTCTCATCCTCGATCCCCAGAGCTGAATCTCCCCGTACGCCGAATATTCCCCTGACGCCCGGCTGCAATTGCGCCGCCGTGTCATACTCAATCTCCGGAACCACCCGCCCTGACCCCATCCTCCCTATCCGCACTACCACCGCTCCCTCCGCCGCGCCTTCTTCCATCGTTTTGTTCTTCATTGTTAATGTTTTAGTTGGAGTAATTAATTGAATCTCTCCCACTCTCTCATTCACATCTTCAGCTCATTTGCATCTATATATACTTATATGCCCCCTCCCAATTAACCTAAAGACGGAGTAGTATCCCATCTTTCCCACTTGTATATTTTATTCTTATACTCCCTCCATCCCACAAAAAAGTTCCCATTTTGAATAGTATTTAGTCAAATATTTACACGCTTTGACTCTAAATTTTGAGAAAGGTATATTGAATTATGAAATAAATTTTATATAATTGGATTCATCTTAGGATCTAGTTTTGATATCACAAATTTTTTTAGCATTTCTTTATTTAGATTATATTTAATTTAGGGTCAAAGTGTACAACAGTTTGACCAATTTATGGTCAAAATGGGAACTTTTTTGTGGGACGGAGGGAGTATTTTTTTCACCAAAGTTTCCATGACATTGAAATCCAATGTTATGGAATGACCCAGAGACCCTCTGGTGCTTCGTTCGTAAAATTGACGGTTCATACTCCTAACCCCCGGTAAACCCTCCACCCCGTCCCGACCCGAACACACCCCCACCCCCGTCAATTGCACCTCACAAATTGATTTTGACTTTCGAGTCAAATTTTGACTTCAAAGTCAAAATCAACGTGTAGGGTGCAATTGACGGGGGTAGGGGGTGTGTTCGGGTCAGGGCGGGGTGGGGGGGTTAGGAGGGATAGGAATCGTCAATTTTACGAATAGGGCACCAGAGCGCCCCCGGTCATCCCATACATTGAAATCCAATGTCATGGAAACCCCACCCATTTTTTTTCATTCACTTAATATCACAACAAATCAGTATCTCATTTCCCTATTTAAATCACCTCACTTTATTTCTTTTACTTTATGCACAAATTGTGTAGTATTCTAAAAGATTACCATAGTAACTTTTTTGATCAAATTTTGACATTCTTTAACCATGAATTAAATATAGTTTAAAATAATTAAATTTTATTAAAATTAAATTTAATATTTCAAAACTATATTTTAAATTAAACTCAATCTTACTAAATTTACATTATAACTAAATATACCTTTTTCCATAAGTCACAGTAAAAAATGTCACAATTTTACAAAAAAGTTCTAGCTGTCGCAATATTTTAAGAACAAAGAGAGTATGTTTTTTCCTTTTAGTTTTTTGGCCACATCAAGCATCATTAGTTTTCTTAATAAACATCCCGAATTTTTTTGTGTCAAGAAACAAGTGCGAGCGATGGAGTTTATACGCTTTCTGTCCCCGAATGATTTACACTGTTCACTTTTCAAAAATCTTAAAAACTTCTGTTTATGTACTTTTGTAATATGTAAGTTTTATTCATATGCCAATCTTTAAAGAAAATGTATTAAAAAATGTAGAGTTTTTTTCGTTTTGCATAAAATGTAAATTATTCAGGGATGGATGGAATATAAAAGAGAAAAAATAAAGGAAATCCATCATTTATTTCTTTTAATGGAACAAGAATGACTTTTTTTAAGAGTTATACTCTCTTCTTCCTATACCTTTCTTTATTGTCTTTAATGGTCAACTTTTTGACACTATAAAAAACGCGTTATTAGCACGGACGCCAATTTTAATTTTCCGTGGGAACAGCATTATGCACGAATGAAAAGACTCGCCAATTTCGAAGCTCCAAAACTTATGGCACGAATTTCTTGTCCGTGCCAAACAAAGGCCCAGAATTACCTGTGCCGACATCATTCCAAACTCATGATTTGAAGGAAAATGTCGAAGTTTATAGGAACGAATAATTCCGTGCCTTTTCAAATTTTAAAAATTTGAAAATTTGTTTTTCGAAATAATAAATATTTGCTTCTTTGTCAAGGAACTGTCCATGCCTAAATTTTTAAAAATAAAAATTTTAATTCGGAAATTATGTAAAATTTAACAATAAAAGCATCTAATATTCACTCCATAATAACAGAACTGATTAATTAAATTAAAATAAATGTCAAATAATATTCATCACATCCAACAAATAATAAATGTCCATACCACATGCATCTTACAAATAAAAATAAAAACTACAAATTATCATGAGAGGCTAGGAGGCATAATAAAACGTAGGGATTAGATGTTGAATCATGAGCGGGCTCGGACTTCGGGGGGAGGCTGCATTGATGGCCGAACTTGAAAAGGAAACTGCAACTGCAAAAAATAATATAACATAGAAAAAGGAAAAAAATTCGAAATAAATAAAATCATACCCAAAATGGGTTCCACTAGCACTAACAGATTTCATTCAGCGCCGTGGTCTAGGTATACCAGGCGCCATGAAAATTTCCCTGAATTATGCCCTTTATGGTTTTTAAACTAATTGCTAGCTGAACGAAAAAATATGAAAAATAAACTAAAGAATTTTTGAAAAATAAAATCGAAAGGAAAAAAATTAAATATTGTAAAAAAAATTACCCCTTCAGATCGGACTTGGTAATGAACCATGGGCGCTCGGCGTACGGCACAACTCTCTCTTTTGTGTGAGGAACCACCGCTTCTTCTCCTCGCATGTCGCCTCCGCCCTCAACCATTTCCTCACCGTCACCTTGCCTATTGAAAAAGGATTGCGGGGTAGCTGCCGGTGAAGGAAATTATGAGGACCCTCTAGACAGCGAACGACGGAAGCTACCCCGGCCACGGATACTCTCCTGAAAAGAAGTGTTTCTTGAAGAACACATTGTTAGGAAGGGTGAAGAGATGGATCGGAGATGGCTGAAGACGGGTACGGGTAAGGGCAGAGGAGAGTAGCGGCGGCGTTAGAGGATAATATGGAAGGGCTGGGGAGTTTTCGAAAAAATGAGACTGATCGAATGAAAGTGTTTTAATATTCTTTAACTTAGGCACAGATTTTGGCACGGGCTCCGCCGTGCCTATAGCGCACTCTAGCACACTTTAATTAGACACACTATAGGCACAAATATATCCGTGCCTACGTCCATAACTTATGTGTGTCAAAATTAATACGGACAACAGCATTGTATAGGCACAGATATATCGGTGCCTACGCCCTTAACTTATGTGTGTCATAATTAATACAAGAAACGATAGGGTATAGGTAAGGTAATATCCGTGCCTACGTAAAGCTCGACAACGGCTTTGCAGAGAAGGTTCTAGTATTGACCGTAGGCAAGGACTATTCCGGGATTTGCACAACATATTCCGTGCCTATGTTTTGGACTTAACGCTGTCGAGTGAATTCAGTGACAGTTTTACAATTACGGTGTTGGCACGGACTTAGGCACGGAATAGCCAGAGCCAACGCCCTTCACGTATTAAATAGCAACGCGTGACATTAATTTTTTTCCTCAGTGGAGGCACGGACCGTTCGTGTCTATATTTCCGTGCCAATTACGCGGTTTTTTTGTAGTGTAAATTTTGATCACAAATTACTAAAAAATAATTGAATTGTGATATAAGTAATATCAATATATAGTTTCATTTCAAATACCATTTGCATTTGAAACCTTTGTTTTCCTCGCACCTGAGGTCGTGAAGCTACTAAGGGTCCGTTCTGCATGACTTATTCTTTCTACTTATTACTTATTCTTATTAAAAGTAGATTAGATTAGATCAAATGAGATCTAATCAGATTAGATCAGAAAAAATAATAATAAAAAATTATATTAATATCTTTTATCGATTAAATAATAATTACTATTTGATAAGATCATATTACTTTATCTAAAGCTATTTGATTAGTAGAAGAAGAAGAAGAAGAAGAAGAAGAAGAAGAAGAAGAAGAAGAAGAGGAGGAGGAGGAGGAAGAAGAAGAAGAAGAAGAAGAAAAAGAAGAAGAAGAAGAAGAAGAAGAAGAAGAAGAAGAAGAGGAAGAAGAAGAGGAAGAAGAAGAAGACATTCACTACTAAACAAATATACTCGCTCTGCACTCTTACGACCGAAAAGACACTCAGTCCTTGTCTGATACTCTCCAACTAGGTCCCCGGTTCCAAAACCTATCATATGTGATGTGTAATTTGTAACATGTAATATACTACTATGTAATATGCATAAAGAATGTAATAGTTTTGTAGAATAACATCCTTACTTTCTAATATTTGGTTATTTCAATACCGAGTAATAGTACATTCTCTTCACTATATAAAGAGAAATTGATTATTTTGTTCTCACACAGATTAAATATATTAATGATTAGTTATTGTCAATGATTCTTTAATTTTATTATATTTTTTCTATGTATATATGAATTGTCAATGATTCTTTAATTTTATAAGTATAAGTTTAATTTAAATCAAATTTAAATTCAATTACACAAGATCCGATCAAATATATTTCGATCATATCTAATCAGATCAAATCTAGTAATATCAGATGAGATTAGATTCAATCAGATTCAATCAAATTAGATCAGATCCATTCAGATTAGATCTAATCGAATCAGATCAAAACTTCATATCGGATTCAATCAGATCTTGTTTACGGAAAGAGCCTATGTGAGTGCAACGAGTCTAACGTTTTTTTTTGAAATATCATATTTTTATAATCTATGTTTATACATTTATGAGGTGTTACATTATACTATACGTAATCAAATGAAAAGAAAAAAATAAAACATAGGGAGTAACTTATTTTATGATTTTACGTTAATACTCTGAAATTGAATAATTTACACCACTGTTCTAAAATATTATTCAATTTTACACGAATACTTCAGGATGCCAACTAAGGTGAATACGTGACATTTTAAACAGTCACTGGATAACTATTGAGTATGAGTTGGTATTTAATTACAAAAATAAATAAAATACCTTGAATGCATTATAATTATCCCCTCGATGTTGATTTAAAAAATGTGTTAAAATTTAAAAATAAAGTGCTTATATTTTAATCGGATAAAATATGAATAGTCCAAAACTTCTATTTAAAAGATCTTTTCAACAAATATAAATTTGATTATGAAATATGTACTTCAATTTCTTTTATTTTGTATGACACATTATTTTCTTTTATTTTTTATCGCTCGTAGTTACCAACATATGCTTAATAATTCACAGTCATCATTTAAAATATCATGTATTCTTCTTAGTTAGTAGCCTGGAGTATAAGTATAAATTAAACAATTTCTAGGAACAAAGGTGTAAATTATTAAATTTCAGAGTTTTAACAAAAATCACAAACTTCTGGGACTATTTATATGAATTTTTCCTTAATTTTTTAATGTTATTCTAATATTTTAAAAAGTAAATTATATATCAAAAATTAATAAATCTCAATCACACTATTTTTTCAAAGTTTAATACTCCCTCCGTCCCCAATTTGATTACAAATTGCGAATTACGGAGTAAAATTTTCTACTTTTTGAAATCATTTTATTTACAAATTGGTATATCAATAAAATATAAAAATTACATATTAAAAAACAACGTCAAAAGTTCTACAAAACAAGAGGTGATAATAATATTTTATTTTATCAAATATTTAATGAAATCGCGTAAACAAACAAAAGTTATCGAAAAGATATAAAAGAAAAATTATAATCTATTTGGGGAAGGAGGAAATAGAAAAATAAGGAATTCAATTTGGGAGAAAGTATAAAGTTAAAAAGCAATGGGAAATTGGCAATGAGGTTCCAGATTTGGGGGTGCCTAATGACGTAAGCAATGTGAGGTCATCAAATTCAAACACTCCGCGTGTAAGAAATTTCAAATAAGGTGCCGAAGCAAAGCAATGAGAGGTCAGGTCACTGATGACTCCAAGGAGAGGTCAGCAAATTAAAATGGGGTGCCGAATGCTTTTTGAAGAGGGCAATGCTAGGGGTACACCAACACGGGGTACCCCAAGTGTACACCAAGCCAACACAGACACAAACAGACACAAAATGTCTGTGCAACACATACACTTTATGTCTGTGTGTGTCTGTGTTGGCTTGGTGTACACTTGGGGTACCCCATATTGGTGTACCCCTAGCTTAATTCTTTTCAAAAAGCTAGTCAGTGCTAAACTGAATCTTGTTTTGTCGAAATAATTTTAAGCTTTCTATATTTTCAAAAAGAAAATAGAAGTATTTAAATTTTATTGTAATAATTAGAAGAGGACATTCCACCTAATACTTCATCCATTAGCGTTAATAAACTTATTTTTCCTATTTTACTCTTAATGTTTTATGGTAATAACTTTTAGGTCACTAACTTTTTAATTTATTTGTTTCCTTTTTTGTTTATCTTTTTGTTTTTTTCCTAAAGGTCTTTCTTAAGTTTCTTCTAGAAAATAGTTTAAAAAATTCAAATTTTTGTATGATATAAAAAAACAAATGAAAAAAGGACCTTATCAAAAACGGAAATTAGATCTCTTTTTTATTTTTAATACTACGTACAAAGCATTAAAAAGAGAATCTTGAGGACTTTCTAGGGAAAAAAATCTTTATTTTCATTTTTTTAAGTTTTACTCGGTCTTCTCTTTTTTAAAAAACTTATGTATTTCATTTATTTTTATATCGTACAAACAATTTTAAATTTGTAATACAAATTCTAGAAGAAATTTTTAAAAACGTTTCAAAAAAGAGTAACAAGAAAAAGGAAATAAAGAAACCAAAAGGCGAGAGAGCTAAGAGTTATTACCATAAAATATTAAGGGAAAAATAGAAAAACGCATTGTTAACGCCTATGGATCAAATATTGGAAGGAAAGTCGTCTCCTACTCAATACAATAAAATGTAAGGGTCTTTGTTGTCTTATTAAAAATATGGGGACCTAAGAGTTATTTCGAAAAAACCTGCTTCAACCGTGAGTAATTTTCTGATGCTTTTTCGTTACCTTAATCTCGTCTCACTTTTTCTTGTGTCTCAATTTTTGTCTCGTATCATTTTTTTGTTATTTTTTTATATTTGTATTTTTCGTATTTATTCTTGTATTATCTTGTTAACATCAATTCAATCACAAAGTTTTATTTTACTCTCTCCGTTCTCATTTTGATTACAATTTTATATTATCTCTCCTCCCGATAACTTTTGTTTATTTGTGTGTTTTCATTAATAATTTGATAAAATAAAATATTTTTGTCACCTCTTATTTTGTAGAACTTTGGGCGTAGTTCTTTAATATGTAATTTTTATTTTGTATTGATTTACCAATTTGTAAATAAAATGATTTAAAAAATCATGGAATTTTACATCGTAATTTCCATTTTGTAGTCAAAATAGGGATAGAGACTCGATCCTCGGTCTCTTGCTCCAAATTCCCTATGAGACCAATTAAGTGTCCGATATATTGTGTATGTTTTAATTCTACACTTTTAGTCACGGGCGGATCTACGTTAGTGCCATGGGGCGGGGGGGACATGCCCTTAGTCAAAACATTTACAATATATATATATATATATATATAAAATATCTTATCCATTAGATCTCATCAATTATAGAGATCTTATCCCCTTACGTACAGGGTTATATCAGGGATTTTACTCAACAATCGTCTCTCTCATACTCCCTATCTTATTGAATCCGGGAAATCAACACACAATCTCCATAAGTTTCGTTCTGTTTCCTTTTCTAACGATGCTAGGCCTGATCAATTACTTCTCCATAGCATTCTAATCCGAACAAAAGGTGTTTTTTCTCAACGGATTCGCCATCTTTTCTGGAAAAATAAAGAAGTTAAAGAGAGATCCACCATGCTTCACTTCCGATTATGCAAGGTATGGTTTAATTTGTATATGTGTGTTTATTTGGTTTTATATTGAGTATTTCTGTTGGGAAAATATTATAGATTTTGATGATGATGTATTTAGATTGTAATAGGGACTTTAGGCCTCCCCCAATATTCAATGTAATTTTTCTTTTTAGAAATATTGTTAAAACCGAGTTCTTGAGATTTCCAATAAAGTTGTGATATTTCTTTAAGTGGTTTGATGCTTGAAGACTTAATCAAATTCGGTGATATGGAAATTGGATATCTTGATCGGAAATGTCAGAGACAAGTAAGGATTTCTCAAAGCAGATGAAGATCCTCTAATCCGGAACACTACATGATAACCGGATGTCTCGCTACAACCCGCTGAAGGCTAAGTCATTCAAATCGGAAGACTAGCGCGGATCTCTTTCTCACCCGGAAGTCTGTGAATGACTCTTCCGGATTTGTCAGCAAAAGAACCGGATATCTCAAGAAAAGATCGGAATTCTCAGAAGCGGACAAGTGAGAAAAGACTTTAAAAAAAAATTCTAAGTCTTGAATGAAGAAATTCTACCCGTTGGTAAGGAAAAATCAATCTCTTGATTTTCAACGGCTAGATTGAAGATAATTAAGCTGATTCAAGAACAAATGACTTGAANACAAAGTCTGGACCCCTCAAATTAAAGAGCTCGTCCAGAATTCCTAAACAAGCACTAGAAGACAAACTGAGTAAAGTTCTACAGTCCAGAATTCTTGAACAACAGCTAGAAGACGGATTCTGTGGAAAAAGGAATCCCTCCTCAAACAATTGGGTATGTCCAAACACCCACTCCAATGAGGAATCCTCAATCACAATCTTCATTCAAAATTGAAGCCAGCAAATGCAAAGGATAGTCTATTTTGATTCAACGGATAGATTATCCAATCCAGCTATAAATAGCAACCTTGGAAGACTGGAGAAGAAATAACAACGAGATAGACGAACACAACGAAGCAATCTCTAATAACAAAACTATCTCATTCACAGTTAGCCCAAAAAGCTTGATAAAGAGAGATTTCTAAAACTCCTTATCGAGAAGCAAACTTTCTCCTCCTTCCAAAGAGCTATAGTGTAAACACTTGAAGGTTTCCTTGCCTCAGGTACCACACCACGTTGAAGGATATAACTTTTGATCAAACTTCTTGATTAAAAGGGGGTAGATCAACTTTCTCACAAGTTGATCTTGCAGGTCCTATTGTTCGGATCTTGCAGTTGTTGAAGAAGTGTGACCTTCGAAGGAACAACAAAGCCAGCACGAGTGCAGTAGCAACTTTGGCCTTGCGAAGATATACCGTGCAGAAATTCACACAAGTGTAATTGTTGGTTCTTTATTCAACAACCAACTACATAGTGGATTTTGAGGACGTAGAAGGATTACCCCACCTTCGAACCTCGTTAAAGTTTGCGTGTCTCTCTCTTTTATCTTTATTCTTACTTGCAATTATATTAACTGTGAAAACTAACCCATCCATATTGATTACTACTCATACTACCCACCAAATTTCGCACACAATCTAAAGTTCCCAAGAACTCTAGATTTACACTATTTTCACGTTTTCAAAAGAAACGAAAAAGTTTTAAAATTGTAACAAAGTCTATTCACCCCCCCTCTAGACTTTGTATCTCACCACTTTGGGACCACCAATTTCTTTACATAGTGATGCATCTTAGTTATTGTTTCCATAACCTTCCAACCTTTGAATTCATTCTGTTATTGTAGTTAGGCAAAGTCTAGTTTATTATTAAACAAATACTTCGAATGGAAGAGACTCTTATATACATTTTTCCCTGTATCCTATTAATTTTTATTATTATTACTCACCTTATTGAAATAAAGCCCCAAATTTAGATGATGTTCAAAACTCTGGTACTAGGTATTCAATTTTAGAGATAATATACAACATTTACTTTTCAATAGCTTTAAGATGCACTTTATTTGACCTTTTTATATACAACCTGCAATTTTAGGATATTTTGCATTACTATTTTCTATACTGCTATGCAATCCTTTTATGATGCATTCAACACTTTTCACAGATATATTATGGTCTTTTCACTGTTTAATTTTTTTAGATGAACATAAAAAACATATGTAAAATCTTTAGTGCATTACGAAGTATTTTCAGTGCATATTTAATATACTATAGACTGATTTGTGAATTATAGTAAGTATTTTAGTGAATAGTAAGAACACTTTGTGCATATTCTATGGACTCCATGTCAATTTATAAAGCATGATGAGTATGGTTAGAACTTTTGTAGGTTTGAGCCTTGAGGTTTCAATTTCTCGGAGTGGATGCATCATTCTTAATAATGTTCAAGCAGAAGATTGTCCATCGGAACTACTTCAAAATTACATATACTCTGTGTTGTCAAACATACATGTTTCTAATTTGTCATTTCATTTGTATAATTTGTATGCAATTTGAGCATATAAGTCGACTTTGATGTGCTGGTTCTTGGAGTGTGTTTTCTAAATTAGTTTTTGTGTGGGTTTGCTAATGATTTTTAATTAACTACTTATACTTTTCCTAAACATATAGTTCATTACCCAATGTTTGATGTTTTTTTACCACTTTTCTTCTTCATGAGTAGTTGATTTTTTTGCTTCATTTGTTTATGTAAGCACATGGTAATGCATTTTTACGTTGGAACTTTTGCACGTAGTCAAATAACAGGGTCATCATATTGCCACCCCTCTTAAAATTCCTCTTAATATGTATTGATTAATCTTCATTAGCTTTCTGTTATTTCTATGCATCTATCATGACTTGATCTTACATATTTATTTAAATACATATTTATGTACTTTGTGAATGTAAATTATTTTCTCTTATATTGTACTTACCAAGATGATTTAGTGTTCCCTTTATGAATTCTCATGATATACGGGATTAATGTCTACCTGGTTCATCATTTTTTTATTTTAGATTGTTACATTCGATGAAATGGTACCAAAAGAGGACATGATTGGCTAATATAGATCCATATCTGTTCCAGATTCGAAGATGAGGCTGATGTACATGCATACGAAGATGAAGCCAAATAATTTACATATCCAAGTAAATAAGAAGGCTATGCAACAGTTCAAGTTCAGGATGCATATGAAAATGAAGTGGATGCACTGATAACCTGAAGACTTTGAAAATACTAATGTTTAATTTAGTGAAGTGAAAAGTATTACATGTATTCTCAAAATTTTTGTGATAGATTTTTATTGTACTTGTTGGTTCCAAGAGTTGGGAGATTTATTTTGTTAATGTTGGAAATAATTTTTTACTATATGTTCTTGAGATTTTAACTTTTTTTGGAAAACGAGTCGTTTTTTAAGATTTATTTATTATCATTCTAATAACTGGATAATTTTTTTAAAATTAAAAATACAAGAAGCAAACACTAGTTAACAATAATCATTTTATCCACATGGGCAAATGCCAGCTATTTGAACATATTTTTAACCTTAAATCTAGGATAATATAAAACAAAATTAAATTAGATACTCAACAATATAATTGGTGCATTTCAGATGCAAGTTTCTTGCATTTCGTTAATTTTTAAGGTTGGTGCATTTCAACAACAAAACAATATTATAAACAAACAAAGAATAAATGCATAAGATTAAAATTTTTAAATAAGAAAGAAAATGAATGGTATTAGATTAAATTCAATAGATTAAGAATGCCTTGAACAGTGCATCAGATTAAATTGCTAGAAAATGCATGTACATATTTTCATAAAATCTAAAAAATTACATAAAAATCCAAGTGCATACAGAGTTAAAGGGCATACCCTTAAAAATCAACAAAAGCAAATACACATACAAATCCAACAACAAAATTAATCCCCAAATAGAATAGCTAAACCAATGCTCCCTGGCGACAAAACTGAACATGACATGTCTGAGGTAGGGTCCGGGTGCCACACAAACTTGCATTCACATATCTAGGAAAAGTATATATATACGAAGCATATATACATCCTGCCCATATTCAGAAAATAAAACTAAAATTCAAGAAGAAAACATCAGTTCCCATTAGTGCTTAAACATATTGCACTGTTAAATCTAATCCAATATAATAAAAAACACAATATTAAATCCAAGGCAACCAGCATCACAAATGATGCATTAGTGTACATGTTTGGTGCATTGTGTGCACATAGTTGGTGCATTTTGTAATCAAACACATATTATAAACAACGAATAAATGCTTCATATCAGATCAAAGAATACATTATTTTATAAAACTCTTACATGCCAAAGAAAACAAAGGGCATCAGGTTAAATGCATCAGATCAAAGGATCTACGAAAAAGGGGTATTCAATTAAATTGTGCTAGAAAGTAAATTCACGTATATGGGAAAAGCATATGAAGCATATCTCATTCCCTATTAAGAAAAATTCAAGGAGGTGCTCCTCATCTATCGTTCTTCATATCATACGGTGTGTTAGAAAGAGAGGGATGCAGAGTCTGACGGAAGGGGATGAAACAACAACACCACTAGGTGCCTTCTTCATCGACATAATGGGATGTAGAATTGTCTGGTGTTTGTTGCTTGATTTTTTCCCCATCACATCGTGTTTTTGTCCAGTGTTGTAGAAAAAATGCAGAGATCTATGGAGTAAAGGGCGAAAATTTCGGGAAAAAAAAGTAAGAGCCGTGCCTAAAATCTAAATGGTAGTGGGCACTTTTTTCCTAATTTACCCTTGTCAACCTTTGAAGCCTATTTTAATGCATGTCTTATTGGAATTTCCATCTAAAAGAAAATAAAATTTAATGCACGTACACCTATCATCAACCGTCCGATCTTTATATATATATATATATATATATATATATATATATAGGGATTGACTCCAGTCAGATGAAACCTTAAGGTGAGATGACATACTACGGTAAGATTGCGCAAAGCTCACCACTGGCCAATGCAAATCTCACCAAATACAACTACAAAGCTCACTAAATTGTAATGCAAAACTCACCATATTTTTTCAACACTTTGAATTTTTTTTTGAAAAAAAATCAAAGAAATTGGTGCTGACTAGACTTTGACCATTGACCGTTGACCATCACCACCGGCGACCTCCGCCAGCCGCCGTCGACCTTCGCCGCCGGCGACCTCCGCCGACCTCCTCCACCGGCCACCGGCGACCACCTCCGCCACTGCCAGTCTCCGCCGGCGACCACCTCCACCACCGCCGCCGTCCGCCGCCGCCGCTGACAACCGCCGCCGGTCGCCTGCCGTCGGCGACCACCTCCGCCGCGCCGCCGCCATTGACCGGTGGTTGACCGGTGTTGCTATTTTATTTTTTATTAATTTTTTAATTTTCAAAATAAAAAAAAGTGAGTTTTGGTGTTCAAAGTGGTGAGCTTTGCCTTATTTCCAGATGAGCTTTACATTGGCCATGGGTGAGCTTTACATTGGCCATTTTCAACCTACGTGTCAACAAAAAGACTACACGCTCAGCGTAAAGCTGAGTGGTACGATAATGCAAGAGATCGATAACATATTTATACTTAAATACCTTGCATCACATTGGCCACATAATTTCATAGTTGCATAATAAATAGTACAAGATACAAGGTACATGTATGAAAATGGGTGACTGAAATTAAGTGTAATATGTTTCGCACCAATCTCAGTCACCCATTTTCATACATATGATCAAGATGATGATGGAACAAAATGAATGTCATGGTGCATAGGTTAGCCGTGCATGGACCCCTTGCATTCCGAGATGCACTACTGTAGAATAGGCTTTACACAGCGGCAAAAATAGGCTTTACACAGCGGAAAATATCCGCTGCATATACAGCCGATGGGAAAAGTCTTGGTTTTAGACATCGGATAAATATCTGCTGCCTAAAGTTTAGAGAGCGAATAAATATCCACTGTCTAAAGTTTAGACATCAGATATTTTATCCACGGTCTAAAGTCTATTTTTCCCATCGGTTGAATATACAACAGAGTTTAGACAGTGGTTAAATATCTGATGTCTTAAATAATTATTTTAAAAAATAAAACCATTTTTAACTATCTACTACAAAAGTAGTTGCACACACATCTTTGAGGAGACCGGCGGCGGATTCCGGTGGTGGCTGGCGGCGGCGGAGCGACGGCGGTGGATTCCGGCGACCGGCGGCGGAGCGGAGGCGTTGGCAGGCGGAAGGCGGCGGTCAAAGGTCGCGGTCAACGATCAAAGTCTAGTTAGCACCCCTTCCTTTGATTTTATTTTTTCAAAAAAAATTCAAAGTGTTGAAAAAATATGGTGAGCTTTGCTTTACAGTTTGGTGAGCTTTGTAGTTGTGCTTGGTGAGCTTTGTAGTGGGCAGTGGTGAGCTTTGCGTCATCTGACTGTAGCATGTCATCTCACCATAAGGTGTCATCTCACTGGAGTCAATCCATACACACACACACACACACACACACACACACACACACACATTCGGCGCTACACACACACATATATATAATAAAATTTGTTTTGTCAAAATATAATTATCATATAATTAAAATGACACAAACAAAATATAATTTTAAAATACATATGTATTTTTCGAAATACATATATGTATAAAATTGTCACAACTATATATTTAATATTACTCCTATTAGTGTAGTATACTACTCCTTACAAGTCCTAAGTGTGTGACGCTTTAGGTATCCATAACACTGTCGATGATATTAACATATAAATTAATACCATAGATAATAAGCGGTATCTAGCAACACATTATTACCCACAGATTATGAAAAAGACATTCATCTCATCAATACCTTCTAGGACTTATGTTCTATAACTATTATCCTTCTATCTTAAATGTCATGATTTAACACAAGGCATGGGATGTGTATCCTTGTATAGTTAAATCAGCTGTTACTGAATCTCAATTAGACTGGCAGGGATCAGATATTTATCAGTCTCTAGATAGAGACATATATGGGCATGACCATGCACTTTCCCAAGTCCTACTATTCAGTGGACCCATTGACATTATACTTCTATACAATAGAAGGGATAGATCCTATATCTGTTATTCACATCTCTAAAAATCTTTAGCGGCATACCCAACGCATAACTGTACGTCTACTAGTACTTCAGATAGCATTAGTTATGAATCAAAGCATACGAACCCACATATCATTGAATGTAATAACTTCAAGTATGAGGATAGTTATAGCAAGGTCAAATTGAGAATACTAATAAACACATTAGTGTAGATCCCTGCAGTATTCTCAAGATGGGTCAATCCAGTCACATATTATCGATATAATATGCACCTACGTACACATTAAGATATCACAATACCTATAGTCTATGAGACGCAACTATCTCATCTCGTACATACTAGTCTTGATACGTTATGACGTCCGTATTATCATAAAGTGCGACTAGGGATATTCTAGACATAGCCTTCGTCAAGAAGTAACAGTCTCATAATTAGAACATCGTAGTCCTCATCTATGTTGCTAAAGCGCTATCGTCTATGGACTGAAGCTATGTTATGTTACATGAGATATAAAACATACTTCAAGGCCTTTCATTCATGATAAAGTGTACAGTTACATAGATATTTGATTGCCGCTAGGGCACCTAAACACAACAATCTCCCACTTGCCCTAAGGTCAATCAAATATTTTTTGAATGCCCATGGACCACGTATGACTCTCGTGTTTAGGATTTCCCAAAGCCTTCATCAAAGGATCCGCGATATTGTTGTCTGTACCTATCTTGCAAATCTCAACGTCCCCACTTACAATGATTTCTCGTATGATGTGATAACGTCTGACGATGTGTTTGGTCTTCTGGTGAGACCAAGGTTCTTTCGCTTGTGCAATTGCCCCATTGTTGTAGCAAAACAACGGTATAGGGTTCTTGATGCTAGGAACCACTCTACACTCAGTAATAAAATTCTTGAGCCACGCACCTTCGTTGGCTGCCTCGGCTGCAGCCATGTACTCTGCTTCTGTAGTGGAATCAGCGGTAGTGTCTTGCTTGTAACTCTTCCAGGTATTAGCTCCGCCATTAAAACAAAACACATATCTTGCTTGCGACTTGAAGTCGTCTCTATTAGTCTAGAAGCTAGCATCAGTATATCTAACAATACTGAGCTCTTCTTTTCCGCCATATACCAGGAAGGCATCCTTAGTCCTACGAAAGTACTTAAGGATGTTCTTCACAGCCGTCCCATGGCTTTCACTGGGGTTGGACTAGTATCTACTCGTGACAATCAGAATAAAGGCGACATCAGGTCTCGTACATACCATCGCATACATGATGGATCCAATGGCCAACGCACAAGGAACATTTCTCATGCATTGTACTTCCTCTAGAGTGGAAGCACCCTGAGTCTTAGAAAGACTCATGCCTTGGACCATAGGCAAACTTCCTCGTTTCGATTCAGACATGTTGAATCTAGCGAGGACTTTGTCTATGTATGTACTTTGACTGAGACCTAACAACTTCTTTGATTTATCCCTATAGATCCTTATGCCAAGCGCATAACATGCATCTCCCAAGTCCTTCATAGAGAAACTCTTACTCAATCACGTTTTGACGGTGGTTAGAGTAGGAATATCGTTTCCTATGAGCAGTATGTTGTCAACATATAGAGCAAGGAAGACTACAGCACTCCCACTGACCTTCTTGTATACACAATATTCATCCGAATTTCTTTCAAAACCAAAGCCGATGACGGTTTCGTGAAAGCGGATGTTCCAACTCTGTGAGGCTTGTTTCAATCCGTAGATTGATCACTGCAACTTGCATACCTTGGTAGATTCTTGAGGAGCGCAAAACCCTTCAGGTTGTGTCATAAAGACATCCTCAAGGAGGTTTCCCTTAAGGAAAGCCGTTTTTACGTCCATCTGCTAGATTTTGTAATCGTGGTATGCTGCGATAGCAAGTAAGATCCGAATGGATTTAATCATGACAACTAGAGAAAAAGTTTCGTCATAGTCGATACCATGTATTTGACAATATCTTTTTGCTACCAATCGTGCCTTGAAGGTTTGTACCTTACCATCCATGTCAGTCTTCTTTTTGAAGACCCATTTGCACTCAATGGGTTTGACCCCTTCGGGTGCATCAACCAATGTCCATACTTGGTTGGTGTACATGGAATCCATTTCGGACTGCATGGCTTGACGCCATTCCTCAGCCTCAGAACAACTGATTGCCTCAATAAACATTACGTCACCCTCACAGGGTTAGGATGAATCCATACCTTTCAGGATGTGTGCATAACCGGTTAGACCTACGGGGTTCTTCTGTATCTTGAGCATCTTGAGGTACAACGGTTTGTTCCTCTAGCTCATGTTTCTGAACCGAAGCGGTAGTTTCTTCGTCGTCTCGTATTTCTTCGAGCCCTATCTTTCTCCCACTAGTTGCATTGGAGAGAAATTCCTTCTCGAGGAAGACACCAATGCGAGCAACGAATACCTTCTTATCGATAGGTTGATAGAATGAATACCCTCGAGTTTCCTTAGGGTATCCCACGAAGAAACACTTATCAGACTTGGCCTCAAGCTTTCCATTCGTCATAAGACGTTTGACATAAGCCTCATAGCCCCAAATCTTTAAGTGTGACAGAACCAGGCATTTGCCCGTCCATAGCTGGTATGGTGTTCCTTCAACCGCCTTGGTTGGAACTTGATTAAGAGTATATATTGCAATGCTCAGCGCATACCCCTAGAATGATTCTGGTAGAGTCGAATGACCCATTATAGAATGAACCATGTCAAGTAGGGTTCAATTCCTCCTTTCAGAGACTCCATTTCATTGTGGAGTCCCAGGAGGTGTGAGTTGGGATAAAATTCCATGCTCTCTAATATAGTCATCGAACTCACTACTTAAGTATTCTCCACCTCGATCGGATCGTAATGTTTTAATACTTTTGCCAAGTTGTTTTTCAACTTCATTCTTAAATTCTTTGAACATTTCAAAGGATTCTGACTTGTGTTTCATGAGATACACATAGCCATATCTACTGAGGTCATCATCAGTAAATGTGATGAAGTATGAATAACCACCTCGTGCAGTTGTATTGAAAGGCCTGCACACATAAGTGTGAATGAGTACCATAAGATCACTAGCTCTTTCACCGTGTCCGGTGAAAGGAGACTTTGTCATCTTACCCAATAAACAAGATTCATGATAAGTCGGGTTTGGGTTAGTATTTTTTATTCTTTTTTCGGTATTTTTAGTATTTAATTGTTTAATTTTCATTTGTTTAGCTTAGTTTTATTTTAATTTTCATTTTTACAATCTTTTAATTTTCTTTCATAAATAGTAGGTTTTTAATCATTTTTTTTACATTCTTTTATTTTTATTTTATTTTTCCTAACCCAAATTATCAGATATCTTATTTGTGGAGAAAAATATAGCAGAAGACCAAAACAGAGTTCAAGTTCAGAAGGAAGGGATCAAAATTGGGTCGAAGCCCAAGTCCTAAGAATCAAACCAAGGAGCCCAATTCTTTTTTTTTCTCTCCATCGTAAAAGAACAAAAAAGAACGGGGAACGCATCGCCGGTTTCTTCTTCTTCATCGCACTGGAGAATGACGCAAGAAGCTAACGCCCAAGTCAATTGCATAACTCCTCCAACGTCTCTCCATCAATTTCGTCATTCAATTGCCAACGGGAAGAAATCAACTGAGCAATCCTCTGGCTATAAATTGAAGAACAATCACAGCTGAACGGGGGGGG